GGTGGCTCCCAGAGAAAGAATATTACCAGTGGTAAAATGTTTCATGCCTGTTGTCTGCTCCTCTCCTGTTTAGGACTAGGAAATTCAGTCCTCCTAAGAGTTTAGGGCAAATAGTAGTTTCTTCTATAACAGTACTATTTATTAAGAAGTTTAATATTTTACAGCCTTCTTGGGGTAGGGGAGAGCGAGACCTATGTCCAACCTGAGGAAGAAAGATCTGACCTTTTCTGGATTAGCTATGAGAAATAAAAGATCCACTGCAGAATGAGCGGTATGAGAAGTGAACAAATTCTTGGAAAATGCCATATTTTTCTCTCTCACAACTCAACATTTCTCATAGTCTGTGAAAAGATCCCAGTCTTATAAATAAAGCTTATAAATAATTTTCATGGAGTTTACTTTCTGGTTTTTCAGATTAAGAGTATACTAGGGTAGTTTATTAGTCATAGAAATAGTAACCTGGTATACATTAAGTTATGGCATATATTAGAATAAGTCCACTGACTTCAGTAAGAGTTGGGTTTGACCTAAAGCAACTTGCTAGGAGCTCTGTTATTTTGTGTTGCTTATTCATCCTTAGCCCACCAAATAAAAAGTCCTTTTGAGTAATATCATTATCCCAAGTTCACAGAATAAAATTATATCTTCACAGTACAAATCTGAATGTTATGGAGAACAAGGGTAAAATACTCATAACCCTGAAATTTTTTATCTGAAGCTCTAAGTAATAAAATGACAAAGAAAGAAATTGTTTCAGACAGAAATTTCAGAGTGCTGCTTATAGGTTTTCTTTTATAGATGTTATGATTTTGTTCAAACAGGCCATATTGAATCCATTGGGTTTTTTGTAATAGATTTCAAAATACATAATAAATGTAAGTAATATGATGACTAATGGGTCAAGTGAAGTTGGAACTTTTTAAATGAGAAAATAGCTGGAAACAGTTTTCAGGAAACTATTCCAGTTGATTTTTGGTCCCCCACAAGGTGTACATTAACATAAACTCCGTAGAATCGCCTCTGGGACCTGAATTCCCTCTCTGATTTCATTATTGCAACGTGATTCTTTTCCTTTCGCTGTTAAGTCATCTCCTGGTGTGGTGGGAGCATATAATAAGTGTAATTTATTTATATTTATCTAATCTCCTTTTAACTCAATGGTTATTTCATCATTCTGTTTCCTAGTAGCTGTTTGGAAAATTGTGAAGGGTAATTAGAAACTAATAATTGACAGACATGGATTTACAGGGTAATCTAAAGAGATGTAGTGAAGAAATTGAGAGACAGAAAGAACAATTCAAATTCTACACTCAAATGCTACACTGTTATAAAAAAAAATTGCTTCGATATCATTTAGTTCAGTCTGATTTAAACAACCAGAAGTAACTCACTTGAATGGAATCTATTTACAAGCACAGTAATTTCTTCACTATTTATTTGCTGGAAATAGATAACACCTGGCAAAATAAGTTACTGCTATTATGTCTTAAATCTAAAGAAAGCATTGGGGTATAATTCTGGTAGCCAGTCACTAGTAGGCAAAGGAGAGACTGATGTAATTGAGGAGTTAAAGATGGCTTTGAGCTACCTTTTGCCCTGTTCTGATTCTGATGTAATTTTGGATAATTCAAAGAGTTATTTGAATTATAGGAACCTGTGTTTTCCTACCAGTACAGAATCTGCACAGTGTTGTGTGGTGTGCTTCCCAAGGTGTTTAAAATAATCTAAACAGACTGTTACCCTTGGATTTTGCACCCTGGAAATTTTATTTCAGCTGAATCTAGGTGATCCCTGACATTGTAACATCTCTTTTTAGCCCATTTTGAGTGACTGGAGGAGCTGCTGAACATCTATCTTCATCAACTGCTATAAATAGCTCTTCATATTTCATCAGTTTTCACTGTTTCTGTCCATCAGTTAAATGTTTTTCTTAGAAGGAATGTTAAAGTTTCTTTTACAGTGCAAAGTATAAAGTGTAAAACAGGACAAAGACTAAAAAAGTTGATTTCTCAATTGGATTTTTATTTTTTGAATGTTTTACTTAAAATGCCAAAGAATCTCTTTACGTAATCTTTCCCCAGTTGTAAAAATAACCTATGTCATTATGAGATAGTTAAAATATTTGCAGTGAAGGTTCCAGAGTTACATTTTCTGCAGTTATGCTTCTGGCTACCACCACCTTCTGTCAGGGCTGATTCACTGGATAATAATAACAATACAAACCTTTGTCAAGTTACCAGTCATGACAACATTTTTCTCTGTGACATGCGCGGTTTCCAAACAGAAAACAGGGAAGTCATTTGCATTTCTCTTGTGTCCTAGTGTCCATTTTTTATTGCTCTCTTGGACGAGCGCGGTGTTTGTGAAAACAAGTGACTAACAGCAGTGATAAAACACAGGCCCAGGACCACAGGTGCCATGCATATTCCACCACTGAGCTTCACCAGTGCCCTGTGTCTTCTCTGCCCTGGCCTGAGGAAGCCCAAGAGAGAACTATGGCTCTCCTATTCATCTCCTTTTAAATCTTTCTCAATCAGTTTACTCTCTGGCTTTAGCTTGACACCTGTTCTATGCACTTACGTGTAAGCAGTTTTGGGGTGGTAGGGTTTTTTGTTGTTTTTTCCTCTTCTGGGCTATACTACCATAGGAAAGTGTTGACAATAAAATGTGCCTTTGACAAAGCAGTTAGATGTGAAAGCTGTCACACCAAGCAATAAAGGTCCTTTCCTCATTTACTAACTTACAAACTTAATTGTGTAGCAAAGCCAAGAACATCTATTCTATTTTACTCATTTATTACTACATCACTAATGGAGAAAATTAAGTTGATAAGGGACTTGTTCAGAAAGTGCCTAAATGGTTCAGAAACCCAAATCCTAGTGTGAGTTGGATTTCAAACTTGGGTCATTTGAAAAATGCTGCTCATTTGTTTGCTTGGGTTTTTTGGGTTTTGGGGGTTTTGTTGTTTTTTTTTTTCATTTCATTATAATAACAATCCTTTCCATTTGAGTATCATAATTAATATTGTATTGTCACATGGGTCTCTACTTTCTTCATAAGTCTCCTTTCTCCATTCAAAGGGAGGAGAGGACTAATGATGTGTGCAAAAAGGCAGGCGAGTCTTGCAGTATTCTTTAGTGCCAAGAAGGGTGGAGAGATTTTCAAAAGTGTTATGGAATTTTTCTTCCCTTGGATTTAATTAAAAATATCGGTGCATAAGTATTTTGAAAAATCTTCCAAGTTGATCATGTGTGGTTTTGGATGCCTAAAAATCTTGCTCTCTTCTAATGTCCAGCTTCTTAGCTTTGATACTTGCCTTTCTACTAAGCCCACGTGTTAGATAGTGTTTTGCCACAGTTTCTAGTTCAGCATAGACGGCTTTAACGCAAGAGGAAGCATTTTCAGAAAACCACTAATTAAAATTGTAAGTTACAATGAAAATAGTTTTTCAGTCTTAAATTTCAGTTAGCTGTGGCTTGTGGAGTACTACAGACTTGTTTCTAAGATTGTTTTGGGTTTTTTAATTCAACTATAACAACTCTTACATGGCTGTTAATAAGTTTCTCTTCTCTTTGTAGAAAAAGTGCTAGTTTATAATTCAGAGTCTTATCTATTCAGATACCAAAGCATCTAACTGAAATTTAGAACCCCCAGATATTTTGGGAGGTCAGAAAAGTGCTTTGTCAGGTGCCTGGGACTCTCTGAAGTCAGTATAAACCTATGCTGAAGAGCAGCTCCGAAGCTCTGCTCCTGCAGCCCTTTACCGTTGTTGTAAAAACTTGTAGTTTACCTAAAGATTGCGAGAATCAAGCTCATTAGTTTGCATCAGCGTTAAGAGTAGAACATGATCCTGGACAACTTGAAACTAGGTCCTAATTTTGGTGAAATATTCATTACTGTGTAAAACCTTCAACAAACAGTGTTTCCTATATATATTTATAATGAAACTTGAAACTAAGTAGTGCTGTTTTCTCTGAACATTTAATCTAGTTTAGATGTATGCACAGAATTTTAATCATTTTTGGTTCTTGGGGGTGGGACGGTGGGAATCAAACAGCAAAGTGAAAAGCAAACTTCTCCCCCTGCGCTGGCTAGCCGTCTCATTACTGAGTGAAAGCTGAATTTGAAATGAAAAATTTTAAAAACTATGTTAAAGCTGGATTTCTGTAATGAAGTGTAACGTACTGATAAAAAGGCAGATAGCAGCACAGAAACAAGTTTTAATCATCATAAAATCCTGCTTCCCATTTGTGAAATAATCTTGGTAATTGCAACATCTCAGCTACTAAAATATCACTACTGTCAATGTTGTTCATATTAGTTATGATTTCTAAAAATTCTGTGAGACTTTTAGCAGTCTGGGAAGTACCAAAATCCTTTACTAAGGAGGCAAAGGACATTTTAAAAATATTAGGTTATTCCAGTGTCCCTGGAAAACAAAGAAATCTAAACATACCTCAGTTTCTATATTTGCTTTTTATTTCACATTTCATCTTGAAAATGCATTGAAGAATACTGCATATTAGCTGTGTAGGAAACAATAGAATATACATGTTATTCACTCATTTAAATGTGTTGAAAATGTTTGCTGTTGGCTTTGGAGTTTAGTCAAATAGTTCTACTGGATGTAAAACTCAAGAGAATATGAAGTATATTTTCATTCTGACACAAAAGGACTAATGTATTTACCCTCCTACACACTCAAATAAAGTGTGTGTCTTTCAGGAAATAAGGAAAAACAAGGAAATAAGATTGACATTGTAACATGTTTCCTCCTTTAAAGCTGTATATAGTGAAGATTGCTTATAGTACTTTTCATGATGTTTTAATTCAGATTTATTCCTAAAAATATGGTTTCATTATGTTTTACCATTGATTCAGTCCTTTTAATGAAACGTGGTAGAAATAATGTTATCTCCCCTAAATGCCTAATATTTTTACATTGCTTGAATAATTGCACTATAGCTTCTCATATTTCTTTCTCTGATTCTCTCCTACAGCTGACATAAATGTGGACATATCAAAACCTTTGAAAGCAAATCTCAGTTTTGTCAGACTTGATCAAATAAACCAGTTTTTGAAGAAAATCATAACCACAAATGATGCTGAGCCCAGGAAGGAGGCTGCTCCGTCAGCTGGCGTTATTCCAGATGAGGATGTCACTTCAATAACCAAACACCCCAGTACAAAGGATTTTCTACCTGCAGCACACATCAACGCTGTGCAAAAGGCTTCAGTACAAGAAAATTTGTGGCGAGCCCTTTCCTGCTTCCAGAAAATTTCCATTCACACTGTTCAAATGGTTGTTTCGATGGAAACCATCCCACATCCCAGTAAACCTTGTTTGTTAGTCTCTTTATCAAACCTCAGTGGGAGTCTGAATATTAGAAGTGGACATAAAACTGCAGGTAAGAGTTTTTGAAAGTTGGAAGTGCTACCGATTTGTTCAAGTGGTGGTCTAGTAACCATTTTAAAGTGTGGGGCACTGAGGGGAACTCCTCTAGCTAACATCATAAAGCCACAACAGAAAATAGCAAATCCCTGATAGACTCCATCACCTGAGTTTTCCTTTCAGTGAGGCAGCACCCAAGAGTGCTTAATTTTGTAGTTAATATCCCCTAGCTTGTCATTACTAATTTATTGACGGAATTCTGGCTGGAAGAGTGGTTACAAAAACCACAAAGGGCAAAATTTTGAGTTTTCACTCTGTAACTACATGTTCTTGTTAGGACCCTATATTTAAAAAAAAATACAAAAATAATTGTTCAGAGCCCTGACGTATGCTACTATGTAAATATTGGGTCATACCATTATACTCCTCCAGGCTCATGAAGTCTTAAATTTTTATATGCTGCACAGCTGAGAGTCACCCAGGGAAAACGGTTGCTCCAGCCTAATTACTGCAGAATTGCAAGGAACCTTTACACCTTGGGTACAATTAACAGGATACCAGAGACTCATTTAAAATGAAGACATTTTGAGTGTCTTTGTAAATTGTTTTATTAGTCTTCTAATAAAATTAATAAGATGGTACATTTACATGATATGGAGATGAGCTCTAGGTAGTTGGCAGAGTAGCTTGCGAGGTAAAATGGTCTGTAGCTGAGAGGAACAAGTTGTAGGCCAAGCGAGGTGGTGATTTATTTCTTTTTCATCAGAAATATTTCTCCTCAGGCCAGCAAGTTTCAGTGCTTCTTTATTGTTTTAAAAGTTAAAAATGAAAAATTTAAGGTTCAGAAGACATGAAAGCCTGTGAAAGTGCTGGAGCCTGAAACTCTTGATTTATCCATAAATAAACAGCAGTACACGCAGGAACAGTGCCTGCATTCCCACGCTTTTCCAGTCGGATCGCAACCCTAGCATAGAAACCACTGCAACTGAGTAAAAGGCCTTTCTAATGTCCTTTAAATAGTTCTAGTTTTCTTTCTGTGTAATAATCCTCTTTCCTTCCATCACTTCCCCTCTATCATTTATACATTATCTGTCCCATGGTACATTATGGTGTCCACGGCAAGCTTCGATATATCAAAGCCGAGCCCGTTCCGTCCCGTCACTGTACTATGAAGCAATTTGGCAAACTCAGCAGTGTATATCACTTACCCTGGAGTTTTTCATCCTCCCAGGAGGAGGACGTACCTTGCCTTGCCTGTTAAGCCTCAGCAACGTTCTGCTACGAAGTTCTGTTTCTTAATTCTTCTGGCAGTCTGAGGAAGCCAATCTTTATTTTTCATGTCACAAGCTATACCTGAATCTTCAGTATGTTTGTAGTCTGGCAAGCATTGTTGAGTAAAGCAATACTGATGCTGAATCTAATGAAAATGGAAATTAGTTATTCTATATAAAGAAGTTTCATAACCAGATAATAAACAGACATCAACAGACTCTTTTCACATTTTTTCCAGTTAAATTTGCCTTATCTTTGCTTTATAAAAAGAAAAATACATGTGCATGAGGTTTTGCATGCTATTGTGACGGTGCAATAAATTGTTTTAAGTTTCAAGAAGTGCGAAAGACACACTTTCAGAAAACTGATTGAAACTGTCAAGAATTCTTTTAATAAATGGTTTGGATTTTTATTTAAAATTATTAATTTGAAATTCAAGTGCTGATAGAAACCAAAGTGGAAATTATAACTTCGGGAAAAAAGATAAATTACTCAGTGTGGGGGAAATGGGATTGTAATCTTGTCTTAAAAATACTTTAGAAGAATATCACAGTTACTAACCAGATTTGTTTTATTATTGCAAACAAATTACGCAAGCTAACTCAATTAAAAAAAAGTGTAGTAGCTGTGTCTTGGGAGCAAGGAGTATTTAAATATATCAGTTCTTCACTACTTTTCTTTTTACAAAAGGTTTTGTAGATATACCTTTTGAGCTGAACAGGGTTAATGTCATATTTTTTTTTTTATAGAATGAAACTAATACGCAAATACTTCATTGTGTCTTTGATTTTACAGTCAAATAATTATTGTGACCATCTGCAGCAGCTGCATTTTACGAATTATTTGCTGAACCAAACTAAGCACAATGACAAAAGTAGTCATCTCAGATGTACTGTTAAAACAGAGGAAGAAAAAGGAGCATTGCTTGCCTTTTGTACAGTATGGCCATCTGCTGTACAGATGTTATTATATAGAATGACTTCAGATACAATAATTGTAGAAAATTTTCATTAAAACCTCAACAATTTGCACTTGTTTACTTGAATCTGCATAACTCCCCAGTGAGACAACACAATACGCTTGGGGTTTCTTTGGTTCTCACTAGCTTTCTCTTTGATCCTTTTTGATGTGCTGACTTTAATGAACATAGTTAAAAACACTGTTCAAAAACATCATGGAAAAAACTACAAAGGAACAATTATAGCAGTAGAAACTACTCTAATCCCTTACTTACGCAAGCTATTTTTAGTGAAATATGGGGGTTTTTACACATTTTATGTGGCAGTGTTTTATAAACAGTGTAAATGACCCCTTTTCCAGATGAGTTTTAATGTAGGAGACAAAGTTGGTTTGTAAGGAATCCTATTTGCTAGGAATTATTTAGCAAAAAAACCTCGCAAGAATGTATTGTCAGCATTTTTCCTCCCTTATAGGGGGAAAACAAAAGTGCATGACCTTGTGTAACGCTTTGATTTTTTTAGCTGAAATTAAGAAAGAAGCTTGCCATATAAGTTTTTTTAAATTATCAGTTTTCCCTCTAGACTTTCCTGGTTTAATCATGGAAGCCAAAGGCCTTCTGTTTTAATTGTTCTTCTTAATTTCTTATGAAAGTAAAAAGATATAGCTTCTGACAAACAGAGGGGCTAATTAGTTGAATTATTTCACTTCTGATAAAATAAATTTTAAGTGTTGAACACTCACATTGCAGTTGGATCAAATGAAAACATCTCCATTTCTACATATCCTGCTGCACTGTTATACAACCCCAAACCTTTAGTCTGTCAAGGGACTGCATTTTTTGGACATTTTTCATGTTTTAATACAACAGTTACTTATAACAACATAGTTACTATTTCTGCTAGAATACTTATGTTCTCCTCTGTACTTACGGTGAAATCCTGAATATTTTGGTTTTAGTAATGTGATGCAGTGTATTGGCAAAAAACAAACCAAACCAAAATCTCTTTTCCAAAAAAAGATATTATTAATTTTACTTCAAAAGAGGCTACCAGTACAGTTTTTCTGATACCCTTAAGGGCAGGACTTTAAGTCATACTGACGTTAAATAAAATAATTATCTGTAGTCATTTTATATTTTGTGGCTTAGGGTTGCAAGTTAAAACTTGTACCCATTTCATACAAGCAAGTAACAAACATTTAGCTCATTTTTGGCAGCTTATTTGTACTGTTGTCAAAAACCTCAAGTTCAAGAGCTATCGTTAGACCTGGTTCAGTGATTTTTGGCCTCTGAAGTATGTGGCATCGTCTACAAAGTGGCTAGAGCTCTCGAGTGCCATGTATCCAGTCAGATTCGAGATTGCTTGGTATTACACTTGAGGTATGCAGCTCACTCCAGAACAGTCACATGCCATTAAAGTTGAAATAATTTTCAGCAATACTAGGAAATAGAATGCAATTCTAAACATATGGCTTTCAGTTAATTTAGGTTTGGTGTTGAAATTAGCACTACCTACCTGCCAAAAAAGCAGATAAATGAGAGAAGTTGAGGGCTGTACTCTCCCCAGAATGAAAGACAGCAAGAAGCCTGTAGACTCTCGGTGGAGCCTTATTTTGCTCTGGCTGGACACAGGAGGGAAGTCTTGCTGTTCAGTGTCTGAACTGAGAGAGTTACGGACATAAAATATTCCAAAGATCATAGACAGAATTCTCTAGCCCTTTGTCCCATATGCAGAGATGATTACTTTAGCATATAAATAAGGGGGAAAAAAACCCACTAGTTAAACGTATGATAATCGCAAGTATTTTTACTAAACCTGAAAGAAAGTACATACTTGAGATACTTTACAGAAATATTAAAAATTAAATGCAGCTATTAATTGGTGTAGAGCAAAGACCAAACTTCATTTTGGAGTTAACTGACTCTCTTGAGAAAACTCTGCTAAGGCGTTGTCGTAGTGTTTGGATGCTGCAGATATGCAAGTTAGCCCATGGGGAAATAAAACATTAAATTAGATATGACTACCTAAAATAATATGCAGCAGTAACAAGCCATTTACAACACCCAGAAGACCTTTGTTACTTTTAGAAAGAAATATAAACTCTTTCCAACACTTGAACAATAGGAAATTAATTCTTTGTCAGTAAAAGCCAGAGGACAAACTAAATATTTAAATGGCCACTGAGGATTGAGGTGGAAGCGGAGCTTGTAGACAGCTATACAAATCACTAACAAACCTTAATGAATATTGGGTGTGGGCATCAGGGTCCTGTCAGATTTGACACTGTGTCCCAAGTAGCTTAAACCCAACACTCAAGAAAAGGTGGAGACCTCATCAGGTCTCTAACATCTGGGATTTTATTTGTCATTTTGGCATACCCTGCAAGCGCAAAAGAAAGAGTAAAAGGGGATTATCCTGACAATGAAATGAGTTACTGAATCTTGTGATAATGAAAAGCAGAAGAATTCTAATTCCTTTCTATAGTCCCTGAGGTGGAGGTGCGTTTATAGTTCTGCAGGAGTATGATGTAGGAGGGAAGAACAGATGGCCTAAAATCCATGAAACAAGACACCACCTAATCCCAGAACTGAGTACCACTATTAATCCTGGTCAGATTCCCTACTGGTACTTTGCAACAGGGTTCAGAATTGCTACTGATGAACTAGCACGTTAACTCAGGGGGAAAAAAAGAAAAAAGGAAAAAAAAAGTTAGTTGTAGGTTGTTGATTCAAGACCGTGTACACTAATTTTGTAGAACTGCATTTACAGTTTAAATAACTTGACT